TATTATTGTGCTCGTGAATGTGATCGTTGTCGTCGAAGAATGTGTTAGTGTTCTCTTCTTTCTCTTCCACTGAACCAAGATGAATCCCACGGCTTTAATGTGTCTCGGGCCACTATCGTTTCCACACGTGTTGTTTTTATCCCCACCCCCTCCTGTTCCAAACCCGATTCTAGAGTCAACATCACCGCAATTGTTTTGGTTGTTGGCGAAAATACCGATTCTTGCTTAATAAGCTTTATTCTTCCAGTATGCACTCTCCGGTACAAGGTTAAACCCTTCTTTGTAACAGTGTTGCTGTAAGTAGCCCCGTGAGCCAATCAGGGACTTCCACCTGTCTGGACCCAAATGGGTGGAACGGTATTGCCCGTTAGCGATCAGTGCGTAGTGGAAATCGGCTATCTTTCCAATAACAATGAACCTGAGCTCTTCGTTAATCTTCATACCGACACAGATCTTGGAAAACGATGTGCTCCAGTAGGTCGGTAATTTGGTTTCCATTGAGTCAAACCCAGTCATTCCCCAAGCAGATTATATTCTTCCTTGTTGCTCCAATAATTGGAGTCATAATGAAAAGTTAACTGATCGGGAGAAGACAAAAAAAAAATATATATATATATATATATATACATATCAACTTTGTATACGGGGGAAACCCTGACCCTGTACACCCCAAGTTACCATACTTAAATAGAATAAATGTTTGAAAAAAAATTGCCCTGAGCGGGATTTGAGCCCACGTCCCTCCTGTTACTAGTCAGGCGTGATAACCACTTCACTATCAGGACAACCATGCTGGCAACACGGCAATCAAAGATGTGATTTACGTGATCGGAGACGTGGTCTCCCGGAAAATTAAACTTTTCAAGGTGACAGGGTAGGGAAAGCCTATAATCCCATATATATGAAACCCAACTAAGGATCTATTAAAGATACACGACCGAAGTCGAGTTAGCGGATCACAAAGGAGGATCCAATTATGGGTACAGGCTAATTTCAATTAAAACAAATTCTGTATACGAGGGAAAGATATATATATATATATATATATATATATATATAACTAACTGCAGACAGTACTGTTTCGGCCTTCTGGGCCTCATCAGTGCAGTGCTAATGCTAGGATGGGGGAGAACCGAGACGGTCACCCCAAACGACCCAACCTTTGTGGTATCGTCTAAGCCATGCCAGAGTGCTCAAACTAGAGTAAACCAGCGAGCATGCGCAATTGCAACGGCAATGACTCATCCTAGATAGAGTGCTCAATTTGGACATGAAAGCAAAGCTTTGTATGCCAAAGAGCTATATCTAACTGCAGACAGTACTGTTTCGGCCTTCTGGGCCTCATCAGTGCAGTGCTAATGCTAGGATGGGGGAGAACCGAGACGGTCACCCCAAACGACCCAACCTTTGTGGTATCGTCTAAGCCATGCCAGAGTGCTCAAACTAGAGTAAACCAGCGAGCATGCGCAATTGCAACGGCAATGACTCATCCTAGATAGAGTGCTCAATTTGGACATGAAAGCAAAGCTTTGTATGCCAAAGAGCTATATCTAACTGCAGACAGTACTGTTTCGGCCTTCTGGGCCTCATCAGTGCAGTGCTAATGCTAGGATGGGGGAGAACCGAGACGGTCACCCCAAACGACCCAACCTTTGTGGTATCGTCTAAGCCATGCCAGAGTGCTCAAACTAGAGTAAACCAGCGAGCATGCGCAATTGCAACGGCAATGACTCATCCTAGATAGAGTGCTCAATTTGGACATGAAAGCAAAGCTTTGTATGCCAAAGAGCTATATCTAACTGCAGACAGTACTGTTTCGGCCTTCTGGGCCTCATCAGTGCAGTGCTAATGCTAGGATGGGGGAGAACCGAGACGGTCACCCCAAACGACCCAACCTTTGTGGTATCGTCTAAGCCATGCCAGAGTGCTCAAACTAGAGTAAACCAGCGAGCATGCGCAATTGCAACGGCAATGACTCATCCTAGATAGAGTGCTCAATTTGGACATGAAAGCAAAGCTTTGTATGCCAAAGAGCTATATCTAACTGCAGACAGTACTGTTTCGGCCTTCTGGGCCTCATCAGTGCAGTGCTAATGCTAGGATGGGGGAGAACCGAGACGGTCACCCCAAACGACCCAACCTTTGTGGTATCGTCTAAGCCATGCCAGAGTGCTCAAACTAGAGTAAACCAGCGAGCATGCGCAATTGCAACGGCAATGACTCATCCTAGATAGAGTGCTCAATTTGGACATGAAAGCAAAGCTTTGTATGCCAAAGAGCTATATCTAACTGCAGACAGTACTGTTTCGGCCTTCTGGGCCTCATCAGTGCAGTGCTAATGCTAGGATGGGGGAGAACCGAGACGGTCACCCCAAACGACCCAACCTTTGTGGTATCGTCTAAGCCATGCCAGAGTGCTCAAACTAGAGTAAACCAGCGAGCATGCGCAATTGCAACGGCAATGACTCATCCTAGATAGAGTGCTCAATTTGGACATGAA